GTCGATGCTGCTTTTGTTGATTTTGACCTTCTCGGCGGCTATTTTCCCTAGCACAACAACCAGTCTCGGGCAGGCGCGCTGGCAGACTGCCCAGGTGGCTATAGTCGCCTGCTCTTTCTGCTAACAACACGTCTCGATTCCGCAAAGCAGGAGCAGATCATCCCGACGCCGGTTCTTCCCCAAACCAGCAACTTTCATCCTCCAGTTCCTCACCATCATCACCTTCCCTAATCCTCCCACCAGAATGTCTTCTCGAATCGAAGGGCTGTCCGCCCTGGCCTTCGTCGGCCTGCTCGCCCTGCTGAGCCTGATCAGTCTGTCACAGCCCGTCCTGGCGAACGGCTCCACGCTGGTGCTGCTCGATGACATGGCCATCAAGTCGACGCACTCCCTCTTCTTCAAGGGCCTCCAAAGTAATACAGTCGATAAGTCAAGTATTGAGTTCCATTACTAATTATCTTCTTCTTCCCTTTGCTTTCAGGCCGCGGATACGAGCTGACGTTCAAGATGGCGGACGATGCCTCGCTGACGCTGACCAAGTACGGCACTGCGCTCTACAAGCACCTCATTCTCTTTTCGCCCTCCGTTGAAGGTAAGTCTGTTTTGATAGGTGGTGATGATGATGATGATTGCCAATACTAACTTCTGTTCTTCCCTTCAGAGTTTGGCGGGAACGTGAACGTGCAGTCAATCACCGAGTTCGTGGACAACGGCGGCAACGTGCTGGTGGCCGTGAATGAGAACGTCGGCGACGCCATTCGCGAGCTGGCCGTCGAGTGCGGCCTGGAGATCGACGAGGAGGGCGCCCAGGTGATTGACCACCTCAACTACGACCAGGCCGACGATGGGTCGCACACGCTGGTGGTGGCCACCGGCGAGGAGAACCTCCTCGACGCGAAGACCATCGTCGGCGACCGGAGCAAGCTGAAGCCGCTGCTCTACCGCGGCATCGGCATGATCTCCGATCCGAAGAACCCGCTGGTGCTCGACGTCATGATGGGCTCCTCCTCCGCCTACTCCTTTGTTCCCACCNAAGCTGAAGCCGCTGCTCTACCGCGGCATCGGCATGATCTCCGATCCGAAGAACCCGCTGGTGCTCGACGTCATGATGGGCTCCTCCTCCGCCTACTCCTTTGTTCCCACCAAGAAGATTACCGAGGTTAGTTTGTTGGTAGTACTGTGCTTTTTGACGTTTGACTGACAATCTTTTCATTCCTCTCTGCAGTACCCGCACGCCGTCGGCCGCAACACCATCCTCATCTCGGCGCTGCAGGCGCGCAACAACGCCCGCGTCGTCTTCGTCGGCTCGCTGGACTTCTTCAGCAACGCCCTCTTTCAGTCGCCCGTCAAGGCGGTGGCTTCCGG